CTTCCTGTTGAGTTTTCTCTGCACGCAGAGCGCTGTGTGCGCTCACGATTGTGATCCAGATGAACTGATGCGTGCTTCTTCATCATCATGTGCTTCGCTACAGGGTCCGTGGTACCTCAGTACACTTCTGCTGGAGTAAGTGATGCTTGGAGGCAACTTTACTGCAGCCACAGAAACCGGGAGAAAGAAAGCGACACCGCTGGATCACAGCAGCAAAACAGAAGGAAATAAGATGCAAATATTTGTGATGCTGCAACCACGGGGTGACCTAATAATGCGCTGCAATAACAGTGCAGTAAAAGCAACATTCAGCATGAATTACTGCCTCCAAGATCCAGTGCGAGCTCAGGCAAGTGTTCAACAGCGAGGCCGTTCAGATGGACGACAGGAGGCTGAAGGAGAATCTGCTGTTGCGATAACAAATGACTCTTCTGATAGTTGCTGAGCACTGTGCAAAAGCTCGGGAGGACTCAGCTGCAGATGTATCCAGAGGAGAGATGCATCAGAACAAGCTGTCTGTGACAGCTGACTGCAGCACGCAGGCATCGGTGTGGCGCTCGCTGTGCGCCCTGCTGAGAAACAGGCGCTGAGCTCCTCGTCTGTATGTGACTAATGGGTTACAGTGATGATGATGAAGATGATGATGACGTCGTCACTTGTAACATTTTCTACTGAAAGCAGAAAGAAGTCGAGACGTTAAGCAAAAGCTCAGCGTGCCTCTCTGTCTCTCCTCTATCCTCACAGCTGATTGGATGCTTTACCTGGTCTTCACAACCAACAGCAAAGCTAATAATGAGAGCTGATAGACAGAAACAGCCCGGTGACAATGGGAGTCCTCTCACTGCCTACACAACACAGTCAGCCAAGGATCAGGTGAACCCACGGTGAAACCTGGCCCCACCCTATCATGGGATTTCCTGAGGTCAGAAGGATGTGAGGGGGCATCAAGGCGTCTGCTTTATATTTTTATTGAGTTCATGTTTGTTTTATAACTCATAGATTTGTTACATAATTCATCTTTTCAGGATTAATACGTTTGAAAATGTTGTGTTTACATAAAGTAATGATGTGTCACTGTTTGGGAACCTAGAAAGGGGGTACCTCTCACTTTAAGTATTTAAGTGCAATAGCAGCATGAAACCCTGAGTGAGGGGGAAGGGGAGGAGCATGGACAGAGAGGTGAGGGGTCTCACGGTTTTCTGACCGTGTGCGCAGGTAGTTCTGGATAAATGCTCATTTTTGGGAACTTTCATGCTTATTTAGGGACAAGTTCATTGTTATGTCTTCAGTTTGTAATAAACAATCTTTAAGTCATAATGCAACTGGAAGCGTTTCTTTTGGAAACCAGGAACCAGCCATAGACTCCTTTTGTGAACTTGGTTTATTGAAAATTACCCCCCTGATCTGAAGTATTTTGAGTTTTCATGTTTTGGTTTGATTTTGTATTTTTTGGTTATCTTCTTGATCTATTTGATGAGGATGTTCTATGTTCCAGCTTATTCTGGTTTATTTTTAGTTCTGCCCGTGTTAAGTCTGTTTCCTAGTCTGCGTCCTTGTGTATTGTTTCCTGTTTTATTTTGAACAAAAACAAATAAAAAGCCTGATTTAAAATTGATTAAAACAAACAAACAGTATATAAAATCAAAAA